ATTTTTGTTGTTCGGACATTGGTAGTAGTGGTTGCGGTCTCTGCCTACATTTCAAGTTAAATAATACAAATACTTTCTTTTTTAAATAATTTATTAGTTTACAAAGTTTGGTGTGTTGTAAAAATAACTATACAGTGTTTTAGAGTCTTAAAGTGTTGTGTGATCTTAAATAAATAGTGATAATACTTAATCGAAACCGGCAAGTGAATAAAATCTACCCCATTTTTATTAAATATTTACAAAAAACTGTATTACCTTGCAGTTTTGATACTATACGAACATTAATTTTATGCGTCGTGGTTTACAGTGACAATATTATTTTAAATGTGTGCTGAAAAACTTACATAACATACCTGAAACAGCCTTAATATTATTCATTGATAACAGCGCCATCTGTTAGGCTGAGGATTAGGCTGCTCAATACTGAACGGTCATTATATAGATCTCAATTAGAGTCACCTGGCGTCTGTTTAGTATTTTGTTTAGATAAAATGGCGAATTGTGCAGCATGCGGGAAGTTCACTTCTTCAAAAGGTGGCGCTGTATGTTGCAAATGTACAAAAAGTTACCATCTGCCATGTCTACGTTTGTCGGAGACTGCGAAGGTGAACAGAGGATGGCAGTGCCCTGATTGCAAAGGTTCCTTAAGGACCACACCCAACCATCTACAGCGAGGGAAACGTGCGATGAAGACGATAAGAGTACTCCCACCAGCTCTTATGACTCCTCTCAATCGGTCTGTGGCATTGCTAGTCTATCAAGAAGTGCTGACACTGACATTGCCCGCGAACTGAAGCTTATGCGAGCGGAAATGAGAGAGGATGTGAAGTCTGAGCTGCGGGAGATTCGTCTTGAGATGGCTGATATTCGTCAGGCTGTGGGCCACATACAAAAAGAAGGTCGACCACCTGGAGACACGACTCGATGTCCTCGAGAAGAAGCACGCCGCAGCCTCCCAGGAAGATGCAGTGAACCAGCTAGAACATACAGTGAAGCAACTGCAAACGGAGCTCAATGAAAGAGAACAGGAACTGCTGCTATCTGACATTGAGATCTCGAACCTCCCTGAGAGCCCTGGTGAGAACGTATTTCACTCTGTTGAACTGGTAGCCAAAAAGCTAGGCGTTACCGTGGAGCCACGGGACATAGTGTTTGCAGAGAGAGCGGGCCCACGAGTAGAGCGGTCACGTGAGGTGACTGGGGCTGCAGCGCCGTCGCGGTGCCGGCGTAACGTAGTAAGACTGGCGCGGCGCGGGTTACGAGACGAACTGCTACAGAGCGCGCGCGTGAGACGCGGTGCTACTACAGCCGGTCTTGGCATTTATGCGCCGTCGCAGCGTTTCTACCTCAACGAAAGGCTCATGATAAGCAGCTGCCGTTTTATGTAGTTACCTACAAATATTTTATAATAAGCAATGACCCGTAGCAAATTTTTAAAGTTTGGATTGTTTAATGCAGGTTCATTGGGTACTAGGCATGATGAGTTTTTGATTGCAATGGATCTGCACGCAGTTGACATCATGGCCATTAATGAAACTTGGTTGAGGTCGGGTGAAGTTGGAAAGGCACCTTCAGTGCCGGGTTACAGACTGAGGCACATTCCAAGACCTATTAGTGTCAGGGGTGGACGTAGTGGAGGAGTAGGATTTTATATAAGAAATGGGGTTAAGGTACAAACCAGAAGCCACCCTACAAATAACGAGGTGGAGCAGTATTGGCTTTCATTAAACATAGCAGGTAAAAAACTTCTCATTGGCACAGCTTACAGGCCCCTATGGTTGTTAACAGAGACTTTTTTGGACAGTTTGACTGAAAGCATTAGTGCACTGGCTCCATATGATCACATTATATTATTGGGGGATTTTAATATTAATGTGCTTGATGGGTGCAGTGTGAACAGTACAAAATTGCAGCATTTCTTAGTAGACAGTCCAACACACTTCACAGCAGATACTAGTACATTAATAGATATCATATGCACAGATATTAGTGTTAGAAATGTTTTAGTAAGTCATATTCCTGACTTGGGCCAGCACTCAATAGTTTTTTTTTTTTTTTTTTTTTTTTTTTTTTTTGTTTTTTTTTTTTAAATCGCCTTTCCCCGATCAAGAGTACATCGGGACCTTATTTGGCTATTTTTACATGCAAGTCTATCTATATATACATTTCCACACTACTTTTCTAGTAGGGTGGGATTTACCATACTCCGTGCTTGTGTAGCTTACACTGTTTATATGCTATTTTCTCTGACAGCTTTACTCAAGTATACATGTTTCTTTTTCTTATGTCTATTATTATTATATCTATTTATATATCTACGAAATTTTATATCATTACTCGTACTTTTCTGACATTTTTAATTGGTAACATATTTCTCATATTTCTTGTTTTTGTATCTATTATTGTATCTATCTGTTATATCTACTACTTTTAATAACATTACTTTTCTAACTTTTGACTGTGTTACATTTTTCTTATTTTTATGTCTATTGTTATGTCTATCTTTTTATATCTACTACATTTATGTCGTTACTTTTCTAACATTTTTATTAAGCTACATCTTCCTTATTTTTATGTCTGTTATTACATGTTATCTATTTATATCTACTACATTATGTATCGTTACTTTCTGATATTTTTACTAAGTTACATTTCCTTATTTTTATGTCTATTATTATATGTATCTATTAATATTTACTACATTTTGTACGTTATGTGATCACAGGATCTGTGAGTTGTGTCTGTTATTGTATCTTCTATCCATTTTAAAAACACTTTTTATCTAGGCAATAACATATATAGACTTAAGTTTATATATTTATTCACCGATTCTTTTGCTGATTTTTATTTCATCTGGTTTTTTATTTATTTTTTGTTTTGAGTTGCCGTGTGTATTTCGTGTAGGTGTTTCTGTGCTGATATAGTCGCGTATTGTCAGTATACATTATGTATATCAGTTTGTCATGTGTTCATGGTTATGTGTATCGTGTTTGTGTTTCTGTGTTCGTGTGATTATATAGTCCTGTATATTTAATATACGTTCTTTATAATCAGTTGTGTTTGTGTTGCTGTGTGTTTCGTGTTTGTTCGTGTTATGGTGCACTCAATAGTTACTTGTGAGTCAGTTTTTAGAAAAATTATATTATATATTACTTGGTTGTTTCTTTGTCCTCCCTTACAACAGCATGATGAGGGAAATATACAGCCTTTAGATTGATCGTTTCATCCTTAATTTTCACCATATGGTTCAAGTCCAGATACTCCTGCATGACCTTACTGTACTCTTCCTTAAACTTCGGGTTCTTTAAAACTTTCTTTCTAAGAGATAAAATCTTTTCTGTGCAATGTCTTTTGAACGTCCGTATTGACATTCTGGATCCTCACTGGTTAGAGGCAACCTGACTACAAATCTTCCTTCCTCATCTTTGAACGTAGTTGAATTATAAATTTCCTCACATTTGGTTCGTTTTCCAACTCACAGAATTGTTTTAATAGCTGGTCTTCTTTTACTTGTATGTGTTAACTTACCATTTCAGTGACATAATCTGACGGCACTTGTTATACCTTTCCTGAAATGATCCACCCAAAGATTGTGTTTTGAGCTAAGAGATGTCTGTAATAAGACTTCACTGTAAACTTCAGCTCCGAACAGAAGATCGATTCTGCCAGGTGATGTAAATCCTGGATCGGCTAGTGAGAGGTTCTTGATGTCTAACCAATCAGGTGATGATGTTTGGGTTGAAGGTAATCGAGAAATGAGAGTTTTTAAAACATACGCGGTAATCTGAATTGATTTATTATGATCCGTATGCGATTGCATACGGATCATAATAAATCAATTCATTCATCATTCATCATTTTATATGCCGATGATACAACCCTTAGTATTGAACTCATCGATAACAATTTCACTAAATACGAAAAAGAGATTAATGACACGTTAAACAAAATAATAGAATGGTTAAAAGACAACAATTTACACGTTAATATCGGTAAAACTAAACTTATACAGTTCCAAACATACAACAGCAGACGTCACCAATTAGAAATAAGGTATGCAAATGACGCTATAGAAGAGGTTGAAAGTGCTACATTTTTGGGTATAACGTTGGATAGACATTGCAACTGGAAAGAACATATCGGTACACTATGCACTAAACTGCAAAGATTTGTATTTGTTTTGTACAGACTGACTCGCGTAGCTGGTATCAATGCTGCACTCTATGCCTATCACGGCTACATAGCATCAATTCTCCGGTACGGCATTATTATATGGGGTAATTCTGTTGATATCATTAAAGCATTCCGAGCCCAGAAAAAATGCATTAGATCAATAACTAAAGCCCATCCATTAGAAAGCTGTGTCCCACTCTTCAAACATTTAAAAATATTACCACTCCCATCTTTATACATATTCGAACTCTGTATCTTTGTACATAAAAATAAAGCTTTATTTCCAGTACATAATGATGTTGTTACAAGAAAAAGCCGAAATATCCACAAATTATGTGTACCCCAACAAAGGATTAAATTATTTGCCAATAATGTTTACTGTATGGCAATTCGTGTTTATAATAAATTACCTAATGTTTTTAAAAACCTTAACTTCATGACATTTAAAAAGAAATTATTTGACTTCCTATTGTATAAGTGTTACTACTCAACAAATGAGTTTTTAAATGAAAAATTTGACTCAAATTATAAATTAGACGACGACTTGCCTTTATATTCTCAATAATTAAATTCAATTTAATACCTATAACATTGCTTTGAATAATTTTTTACATTGTATTTTATAATCCTCAAGTATATTTAATAATTCTTGACATATTTTTTAATCATTTTTGACATTGTATATAATAATTCTTGACATTGTATTTACTAATCCTTCCTGAAAATATTTGTACGCTGGAAACAGCAGAATATTATGGATGTCATATTATGTCTAACACCTGTACCTCAACAATTTCTGACAAATAAATATATTATTATTATTATTATTATTGAATTCGAAAAAAAACCATATACTTAAGGCGCAAACGACCGTCTCCGACACCTGACACGCAGCCACTAACCGGCACACGTTTCAGTCCTAACGTTTGTACAGCTTCCTCAGTAACGAAAGAAGCCTGTGATCCTTGATCGATCAACGCGCGTAGAAGACAGAATTTACCGCTGAATGAACGAGCTTTTACAATGGCTGTTGCTAACAGAACGTCGCCCGACCCGATTGTTTCTTCTTCTTTGGCAAAATTAGTAATAACGTTCACTTCACTATTAAGTAATGAAGGTGGATTGTCACCTTGATTTAGTCGTGATGATGACGTGTGATTGTTCTCTGAATTGTTTGTAGGCGCTTGATGAATTTCTCTATCTTGATGAAGTAGTGAGTAGTGTTTTTTGCCACACCTGCGACAAGTTGTTGAGTGACGACATTTCCTTACTGAGTGACCAGGTGAAGGACAGTTAAAACATAGTGATTTTGCCTGTACAAAGTCTTGTCTCTCTCTTGGCGCCAGTTGTTCAAAACTCCTGCACTGATAGAGGAAGTGATCTCACATCGAAGTGATCACATGGTGCATTGATGTTTCGTAGAATCTTTGTCATCTCGAATGGCTGCGAATGAATTTACTTTCTCTATGCGTTTTGTGTTATGCTGAGGAGCTCTCGACACTTGTCTACTGTTGTCAATCATCTCCAGTGTCCTAAACCTTGACTCTAGAAACATAACTAGGTCATTCCAGCTCGGTAGAACGTGGGATGGTATTCCAAGCTTCACTTTAGTAGATTTTATTGACCTTTAGGTTGGTTGGTGCGAGCACGTCGATTCAATCTCACGTAGAGCGTCCTTCAAGCAACCTTTGTAGTAAGAAAAAGTTTCCTCAAACGTATCGCATGTATCCTGAGTGAAGTATTCAATTTTAGAGCACTGTTCTGGCTCTACTGACGTAAGAATCTTCCAATAAATATCAGGGAATTGCTTCCATAATTTTTCTAAGGATTCCAATCTCGTTTCAACATATCCTCTCGTGATTCTATTCTTTGGGCTCTTGTTCCAATTGATTTGTGCTTTATATAATTTTACTAGTCTTTCTTTTTGCATTGACATCAATTTATCTGCGTCCATTTTGCAGGCCAAATGCAATAATAATGAAACTGGATGTCAGAAACTAAGTCTCAAAAACTCACTCCAAATTTTTCTAAGTCTCTGGAATGTTGGCAAGAGATTTTCTAAGTCCCTGATACAATCACTCGGATTATTCTAAGTGTTTTAAACACTCAAGAGTTGTGATTTTTTCGGGCATAGATTCCACGTCTGTACACTTTTTAACGAATTGTCTAAGTCGGTGAATTTAATTGAAAATTTTACAAGTCTAAATTTACTTCTTGAATTTTTCTATAAAGTTGCACAACACTAGCAACTTTTATATGAAAATGTACTCACAGCTTTTAGGTCCGAATTTGCTTGATTTTATATCACTAACTACAACCACTTTAATGTCCTGAAGCTCCCGGGTTTTGGCACCAAATTTGTTTAACTTCCTAAACTGCTCGCTAGGGGGCGCTACAATGAATAAAACACATGCACAATTACACACTTGTGACTGTTTATTTACCACCGCCGTGGTTCAAAAAATGCGACCTATTAAGCTATACTCAAAGAACAATATAAACATCTCACTGAAATTAAACCATAGCGTGATCTAAATTTATGCTACAACGCCATCTATCAGTGTATTGGCAAAATTTTACTACACTGATTAAGAGTTGTTTGATTACATTGATCGTTCATATGAATTTAAATACTGAGCATCTCCCTTGAGCGATGCACGAAGGTAGTGGAATTTGCTAATGTCATCGATACTACTACCATTATGAATTAAAGAAATATAAATATTTCTATATTCAAGCCAAGAAATAGGGGTAAATCAATTCTAGGTAAGCGTACAAAATTTCGAGGAAACGATGCACCTGTGTTTTTGCTTGCCGAGCCCGCTACAGACGCGGCGTCATTGTTGAACAGCAAACTACGCGCCTAAGCTGCCACTGCATGGTAACGCTCTTCAAACTTGGTACGTTCTCCGTACGCCTCGTCTGGCTTGTCCGAGAGCACCTCAATCTCCAACTGCAAACTGTCAAATTCATTATACACGGTGATTTTATAGGCGTTTTGGAAACGAAACTTTTTAATTTAAAATCATCTATAGTACCAATAAAAATGATTAAATCAATTGTAATGTTGTCTAAAAAAAAGTTTCAGTTTTAATATTCATTTTTACTCGATCGACTTGGAAAGTAGTAATGGACTGATCATTCATTCATTATCTTATATGAATGAAACACGTCCGTGGGCGTGAACACCGCCGACGCTAATAGCAGCTGATAAAAGTATACCTATAGGCGCGAGCTAGCAAGTACTTACGTAGATAGACTCCAATTTGTCCTTCATACTTTACACGGGCTTAAGACCGTCGGAAATACCTATTTTATTTAAACTTCGATTATTAACCACGATTGTTCTTTTCACAACAAATCAATTTATCAACGGACTGTAGGTATAAATATTTCAGGCGTATTTAAAAAATCGGAGCTATCTACAGAATAATTAACTTACATACCTATTTACACTTCTCTGTATCGAAGGAACTGCTCAAAATAGAGTCCACTGCATTCAATACACAAACGTCTACGTTTAATGCAATTGTTTTTTAATTTTCTTAATGTGTCTCTATCACTTTTCACTTTATCAAAAGCGTCCACTATCGCAATGCGTAAATAATCACGGCTTTCATATTCCCGTGTATAAACAAGTCTTTTTATTTCCGACCATAAGAAAAAATCCAGGGGCGTTAAGTCCGGGCTTCTAGGTGGCCAAGGCACTGGCCCTCCTCGACCTATCCACCGATCACTAAACTCATTGTCCAGGTATGCACGCACTACTCTCCGGCGAATAATATTAATTTAAACGTCCTTGACCTTGCGCGTGAGTAGGCGCACTAAATTGTCCGTGGTCGAGAAGACGTTGGGTTGCAGCCAAGATGGTAGGTGTGGAGGGAATTTGAGGGCTTTCAATTCCACGTAGCCGTAGTGCATTTAAATGCTCCGGCTGGGAATACAAACGCCGAGCCTCTTCCAAGTTGTAGTTGGCAGTAGCGGACAGCTGTACCATTGCCAAGAAGTATTAGTAAGAAATTCGTACTGTCGACTCATTTTAGCGCTAATTAATGCAGCGTGCCGTCACGATGTTATGGTATTACTGACCGACTGAAAGCAAAGGACGCCTTACGATGACAGGTGAGTCCCGCGCATGTGCCTACGGGGCAGACGTCATTGCTTGGACGACTCCGGCGCAACTCGGTAGCTTTGTTTTTATTGGCGAATACGATTTTATGTGACTCGATATTAAAACGCATAGTATTTCTATTCGTAGTATTTACCTACGTGTGATTGAATAGCCTTCTACTACTGGTTCTCACTTTTTCTCTGTAAACGATATGAATATCGACTTTGATGATAAAAAAAATAATATATTTTATTAAATTAACGGTATATATAGCTTCTGTTACTGATAAATAATTCAAAATTTTCTTTTCCAAAACGCTTTCAAAATCACCGTGTATAAGGCATCAAATTTACTAAGGCGACCCTCCAGTTCGATGCGCTGCAAGCTAGAAAGTGGTTCATTGAGCAGTAAATTCTGTCTTCTACGCGCGTTGATCGATCAAGGATCACAGGCTTCTTTCGTTACTGAGGAAGCTGTACAAACGTTAGGACTGAAACGTGTGCCGGTCAGTGGCTGCGTGTCAGGTGTCGGAGACGGTCGATTGCGCCTTAAGTATATGGTTTCTTTTCGAATTCAATCGCTTAGGGATCCAAATCAATCAATTCAGATTACCGCGTATGTTTTAAAAACTCTCATTTCTCGATTACCTTCAACCCAAACATCATGCCTGATTGGTTAGACATCAAGAACCTCTCACTAGCCGATCCAGGATTTACATCACCTGGCAGAATCGATCTTCTGCTCGGAGCTGAAGTTTACAGTGAAGTCTTATTACACGACATCGTCAAACATCCAAAGTGACATCACTTAGCTCAAAACACAATCTTTGGGTGGATCATTTCAGGAAAGGTATCACAAGTGCCGTCAGATAATGACAGGGAAATGGTAAGTTTACACATACAAGTAAAAGAAGACCAGCTATTAAAACAATTCTGGGAGTTGAAAACGAACCAAATGTAAGGAAATTTATGATTCAACTACGTTCAGAAATGAGGATGGAAGATTTGTAGTCAGGTTGCCTCTAACCAGTGAGGATCCAGAATGTCAATACGGACGTTCAAAAGACATTGCACAGAAAAGATTTCATCTCTTAGAAAGAAAGTTTTTAAAGAACCCGAAGTTTAAGGAAGAGTACAGTAAGGTCATGCAGGAGTATCTGGACTTGAACCATATGGTGAAAATTAAGAATGAAACGATCAATCTAAAGGCTGTATATTTCCCTCATCATGCTGTTGTAAGGGAGGACAAAGAAACAACCAAGTAATGCGTTGTGTTCGACGCCTCTTGTAAGGGTACGAACGGGGTATCGTTAAATGATAATCTCCTTGTCGGGCCCAAACTGCAGCAAGATTTGAGGCACATATTAATGAGGTGGCGTAAACTTCCGATATGTGTCGTTGCAGATATTATCAAAATGTATAGACAGGTACGAGTACACGATGAGGACACACATTTTCAAAGGATTTTATGGAGATTTAAAACAGAGGAGCCTCTGGGTCAATACAAGTTGCTTACATTCACCTTTGGCACTGCTTGTGCCCTTCATCTGGCCTGCAATGATTAGCAGACGACGAGCGCCTCAACTATCCAATCGCATCGGAAGTTACAAAGCGAGATTTTTATGTTGATGACCTCATGACATGCTACGAAACGGAGGACGAAGCCGTTGAAATCTACATGGAAATGAACAAGATGATGAAGGCGGGTGGTTTTCAACTGCAGAAGTGGAGCAGCAACAGTGCTCTATTGCAATTTATCGGGCATGCTAATCAAAACGCAGCGCCATCAATTTCCGTTAAAGCGGCCAACATGATTAAGGTTCTTGGCATTTGTTGGAATCGGGACACTGACGAATTTCAGTATACGGTAAATTTACCCGAAGTAAATAAGTCACCAACAAAGCGTCAAGTATTGTGTGACATCGCTAGGTTACATGATTCAATGGGATGGATCGCACCTGTGGTTGTGATCGCTAAGGTTTACATCCGAAAGTTGTGGAAGTCGGGTTTGGCGTGGGACTATGAGCTCCCCGAATATTTGTTGAAGGAATGGCTCACGTACAGATCTCAACTTACTGAGCTGAAAACTATCTTTATTCCTAGGTGATTACATTTTACCGCGATACCGCGGCTGTAGTGGTGACCGTGTCCCCGGAGGCGGCTGACGGCGGGCTGTCCCACGCGGCCGTTTTTAAAAAGGCCCGGGACAGCCTCGCCAACGATTTTGGGACGGTGGGGGTCAAGATGCGCCTCGCCCAAACGGGAGCTCGAGTTCTCGAGTTCCCAGGGGCTGAAGGCGCTAAGACGGCGGACACTTTTGCTGACAGGCTGCGGGGTTTATTCGCGACCACAGATGGTGTCAAGATCGCCAGGCCTACCAAGTGCGCGGAGCTGCGCATCTCGGGCCTGGACGACTCTGTGACGGCCGAAGATGTCGAACGTCAGGGTCGGCACCATCCGCCCCGGTCCAGGAGGGCTTGGCGCCGTGTGGGTCAGCTGTCCCGTAGCGTCGGCCAAAGTATTGGCCGACGCCGGCAGGCTGCTCATCGGTTTCGTGAGCGCTAGGATCACAGTCCTGGCGGCGAGACCGATGAGGTGTTACAAATGCCTAGCATCGGGGCACACGCGCGTCAAGTGCCAAAGCTGCTTCGACTGCAGCGGACTATGTTTCCGCTGTGGTCGACCGGGGCATGTGGCGGTGGAATGCTCTGCCGCCCCTCACTGCCCGCTGTGTGCGGCGGGTAACAAGCCCGCCAATCACCAGATGGGGCAGGGGGGCTGCAAGCCTCCCCGCAACTCTCAGCAAGCATCGGCTAGCCAGTCGACCCAGGCTGCCTCCGATGT